TAGCAGGAGAATACACATCTACTGAGCCACTAAGGCTAATTTTTTTCCATGGAATTTTGTTTTTGAATTTGAAATGCAGATTTCACTTATGTGTACCTTGAGTTCAGTTGTCAATGTACATATTGATACAAGTATTAAAACTATTGTTACAGAGTCAGTTTGGGGTCTTTTCTTACAGTAGCTTGAAAATATCATTATTTGTCTAGTAGGACTGATGTATTTTCAATTATTATGAAGTTGTAGTGAACCCAGCAATACCAGTGAAATCAATTTATTTTATTTTTATTAACACTATAGCTGTTCAGATTTATTCAGATAGAATGTCCACTTGCTTTCTGGCCAAATATTTTCTAAAACAAAAAAGTGCTCTTTTTTTTAGATTTTTGTGTTTGTTTTTTTACTGTTTTCAAACTGGCTTGAATCTTAACACCTCTTTAGAGCATTTGCACTCCTGCTTGTGTGTACAATGGATTTCTGACTCATTCCTTGTGTTAGTATCTGAAGCCTTGACTGTGAATCAGGTAAGACTTGGGAAAGATGACATGTTCACAGCAGCATTTACAGTTGCATAAAATTCTTGTGACAGTTGAGTCATGATTGCACGGATTATCAGTAAGGGAAAAACTAGAGAACAATTTTAACTTTTTACATTTATTTTCTAACCAGAAGAAATAAAGTGCTAGCATAATTAGATAAGCATTTCACCTGTAGTTAACATGATAAACACAGAGATACCAACTAAATTTGATGCAATATGATAGCAAGGGGAAGTGTGCCTACAGGGATATTTGCTGTTACTTGTTCCTAATGGGGCTCTGCTTAGATAAAGCAACTGATGTCATCTTCATAGAATGCCTTCTGGCTAGAACTAGCAATAAAAATACACAATAGATTTAATGTGGCTTGGCTGTCCTCTGACCAGTAAGTTATTCTGCCAGTTGGCTATAGACAGGAGTGAAGAGTACATTGAGCTTCTTCAGTCTTGCTCTTAAGCCTTTTAGTCCCTTAACGTTATGCAGAACTTGGCATAAATTAGTCTGCAGATGACTCACTGAACCTATGAAAATGCAGAACTGAGTGATAATGGTAAAAGCATAGGCATCGCTAGTAATGTAAGCAATCTTGCACTAAATTTAAGAATGTTTTCCTAAACATATTTTCAGCATTGATAATCTAATGCATTAATATTAAAGATATGGTTATATACTACACAAGATTTTCCCTTTTAAACCTGTTGTGTTTAAGTAACTTCTAGGCAAGGACAGTACTGGTAGGCTGATGATAGTGTTATGAAGAATCCTATTATCAAGCAGAAGTTTGTTTTGTGGTTCACTATAGCACTTTAATGTGTAAGGTTATTTTTAAATGCAATATTTCCTTACAGCTTAGATGCTTGGGTGAAGCAAATTACTAGAGAATTTCATCTTTACAGCAATCTCTGGCAATAAATTCTTTAAATTCCAACTATCAGCATCTAATAAGTAAATTGCAAATTGAATTTGAATGAAGCAGACAGACATGGGTCACTCATGCAATCCAAAATCCTTCTGTAAGACCAGCATCAGAACCAATGAGTCTGCTATTTCATACAGTGTTAGTTTCCTTTAAGCAGAAATAATTTCTGATTTATGCTGGTCATTTCTTGAGCAGGTTTGTACCCATTCGCTTACCTGGCTTACAAGAGGTGTACATGTATTTCTCCGCTGGGCCAAATGTTTTACTCCCTGTAAAACAAAGGTTATGGCGCTAACACAAGCTGTTTTCTTGAGACCAAATTCTACCTATAATTTCTTGAATGCAAATCACTGGCATTACACATGGGTAAGTGAAAATTGAATTTACCCTTTAGTGCTCAGTTCAGTTTAAATTATTTTGCAGCTTCCGTGCTGATGGCTAAGAAACCATCCAACCAACCCCAGTAGTATAGCTACTGTGTATACTGCATTCCCTCCACAAATGTAATATAAGGGTTGTTTATAAGTATACATGCTTTAGTTTACAATTCCTGACAAAATTTGCTGTTTTATATGTTACAGGTATATTGAAAGCAATATCTGAAAGCTCATAATTAACCAATCCTTTTGTTCAGAGAATGCAAAGTGGGATAAATTTTCAGATAACAAGATATTGTATCTGAGTTGTTTTCTGCAATTTTTCACACAAATGTGACTGGTTTATGGCAGAGCTATACTAGTTAACATTCCTGCTTATCATCATTATTGCCAATGTATTAAATGTCTTGTGCTTCAGATCCAATCCTGTCTTGCTCTGAGCGCAAATAATTCAACTCCCCACTGTAAATCCTTTCTAATTAGGTTATTTTTGTCTTTTAATCTCTTACTCTGAGAGCCATTAATGATTTTGAACTGGGACATGTATAATTTGTAATAATTTAGCTTATCTGGCTTTAAAAGACCATTTGTTTTCCTTTTAATCTTTAACAACCCTGTTTGGATTTAAGACTGTGTGCAGTGAATGCCAAAGGTAAAGACAATTTTGGTTACATTATGCAATTCTTAAAATGGTGTAGAGGCCTCCAGCTGTAAAGTTGATGATACCACCCATAAATGAATTCCAAAAAGACAATCCCATACTAAAAAAAAAAAGCCCAGAGGGAATAGATGATAATGGTATGGTATGTTCATTTGTTCATTAATTGCTATGCTGCTGTACCAAATACCAAACTTAGTTTTATTATCTTGCCTATTTGAACTGCTAGCTTCATTTTCATTTTGATTGTCAGTGATGAAACGTCTCAGATTTTTGAGAGTTTATTGAATCTAAGCTTTCAGAGATCACTGTCAACTGCAGAATAAACTAAACAATTTGCTCGTAATTCACCTAGTTTGATTAACTATGCATAAATTTGTTTTAGTAGAAAACAATAGTGAATTCCTTCAATTGCATATAAGAATATGATTGATACATCAGACAGTAACTGGCAGTCTTAGTAGAAAGGCCAAGGATTTAATTAATTCTCAAGATCCTTTCACATCAGGTTGTTAGATGTGGAATTCCTCTACAATGTGGAATATGCATACAGCAGTCAAATAGGGCTAAAAGTCCTTGTACATCTGTCAGGTGTTTTTAAATGCCTTGTAGAATGATTTTTCTATTTATCGTCAACCTATATATTTAAATGAAAAACTGTATGTCCTTTGAAACTTTCTGGAAAACAGTTTTCAGTGAAGAAAATGAGTCCTTTATTAAAGTTTGTTATTTTACTCAGTAACCTCTGTAAAAAAAACCCTGGGGAATTATTACTTTTTTAGATGCATAGGAAGAAGTGATACACAACTTTTCACTGCCAACACTTGCTAATTGTTAATTTATTTTTGCTGCTAGTTGGAATCAGACATTAACAGGAACTTGGAATATGTTATGTGTTGCAGTATTGTTATTCCATATCTGGGATCTTACCAGACTGGGTTTTGGTTAATCAATCTTTTACGGGAAGATACGGTCATTTAAATAAGGTGGAAAAATATCCTCCATATGGATGATTCTCTACTAAAATAAGTTGAAGTGTCTTCACAGCAATGTCAAAATCAGCCAACTAAATGATTGTTGGTTAAAGCTTTGGTTATATTTAAATGGAGTTTTTTTCTGCTGTTAAATACAAAAATAAAAAATTGAATATTTTTTTGGTTTTAGTCTTCCAACCACTTCTTCTCTATAAAGACACAATTACATACATATGAGACTTTGAGAGCTACTAAGGGTGCCAGTTTACATAAAACAGCACTTAAACATATGTTCAGTCCCAACAGAGTTCAAGTCCAGCATGTGCTGAGAGCATATTGTTTTGAGAATGAGCTGTTTTCTGTTGTATTTGCCCATGACTCCTTGGAAAGGATAACTATACACACCAGTCCAGTAGAAAGGATAAATCCAGAGCACCTTAATTACTTTTGATGTTATTTTTCTTAATGACCTATTTATGTTCATCTGTGGAGAATTCCATTGATTTCTGAACATTGTAGGCATCACTGGTAGTCATCACTGGAAATGTGAGAGAAGTAGATAATAAATACCTTGCAAATAGGTGAATGCGGGTTTAGATGTTTACACTGTGTGTAAAACCAGATTTAACTGTAATGGAAAACAACCTTTTTTTTTTTTCTTTTTAAGAAAACGGGGGGGGGGGGGGGCGGGGGCGGGGGCGGGAGGAGGGATATAATCTATTACAAATCTGCCAAGTGTGGACCTGGCTTGAATTCAAGATGCTGTTAATTTCATAAATGGTTTTGAAATATGATGAGTTTGAACAGTGCATGGGATGTGACTGCTAGCAGCACCACAGTGGGGTCCTGGGGATGAGGGTGACAGAAATCCTTGGGCTGCAGGGCAGTGTGGGGCCTCCCTAATGATCAGCTCTGTCCTGGAGCCCCAACAAGGTGGTCCAGGCTGGGGATGGTGATAGGAGACTGCCACAGCCCAGCCACCCCCAGGCACTGCCATAGGCCCTAGACCTTGCAGTATCTGGTCAGGCCCAGCTCAGAGCAGGGGCCCTAACAAAAAAGGCCTCTCCAGAGCCAAGGGGCCACAGGTGCATGGGGGACCTGAATGAGGCACATTCCTGGTCTTTTTCTGTTTCGCTGTTTACAGAAAGTCTTCTCCGAGGTTATGTCAGTTTACTGTGTTGGAGCACACCCTGGTTGCTCTGGTTGTTTCCTGCCCAACAAAATAATCTCAGGTGTCTACTGACTCCTTCCCAGTTAGCATGCGCAGCATAATGATCTGTCTGACCACAAGCCATTTTCCATGCAAAACTGGAAAGCTGGAAACTGTGTTAGAGTGATTTCTGTGCTGGGAAAGGCTGGGAGAAAATGTTTGTAGAAAAACAAGTGGATCTTTCACTTGTTGTTGTTTGCAAGTATAACCACAAAACAGAAAATGTCCCTAACCTTAAATCCATGTTCTTACAATCTTCCACTGGATAGCAAAACTGTAAGCTATTGTGCCAATCAATTTCTTTGATTTCCATGACTTTGGAATAGGAAAGTGGGAGAAGTTGAAACAGAAGTGAGCAAGTTGTCAACAGAGGAGCCTGAGGATTCTGGTTCATCATGGTGAAGAGATGGAACACATGGGCACAGGACTAGCTGTATATCCCAGCATTGGAGATCTGCTACGAACTTTGAGGTAGACAGGTTATGTTCTTCATGCTTGACAGTCCAGTTTGTGACATCAATAGATTTTTAGCCCTTCCAGCAGTCTTGCATGCAGCAAAAGGGTACGATGGTTCCTCTGCCACCACAGGCAATACCTTCTCCTTCTAAGAGGATAAATGTCTTCTTAAACAGCAGCCTTTACCCTACTTGAAATCTGAGAAGAGGCTTAACTACTGCCTTCTGTTCTCAGTAACTTAACAAAGAAATCAAGTCTGGTTCTGAAAATCTCCTTCTCATGCATGTTAAAATCCTCTGGTTTAATGATTATCTTTTGGTCAGAGCTTAGTGTCTAAATTTGGTGAAAATAAGCTGAAAGGCCTTTCTTTAAAATAGGAAGAAAGGTGGCTTAAAAAGTAGACCTTAATATTCTAGAGTCCTTTTTTTATTAACTTCACATTTGAGAAAAAAATCTTATGACTTATGTCAGGATCTTTTGTTCACTTAATGAATTTTTCAAGGTATTAAAAATAATTTGTGCAATCTGATGACTATTAAGCTACTAGGTGAGGGTGGGAGTAGAATATAATTTCAATTAATATCCCATCTGAAATAAAAAGAACTGTTCCCAAAGATTTGAAGAAAAAAAAAAAACTCCATTGATTCAGTAAAGAACCTCATCTTTGCTTGAAGCTAAGCCATGTGACATGACAAGAACAGCTCCATAGAAGAGAGAGTAGAAAGTATATTCAAAACCAGTCTTTTAATTTCCTACTTCGGAGAATGAACCTCAGTGAAGCTACCAGACAGCCCTGCTCCTCATATACATGCACATCTATCTATCTGTAGATATCCTCCCCATCTTGGTAACTTCTGTGGCTGTTATGATTACAGACCAAATAAAGATTAAACCTCAGAGCACAGCCACACGGTGGCTCTAAGCAAGTTTACTTTGGAATTGTTAAATCTGTGAAGTAATCTTCAATATATGCAAATTAAAAGCTTCTGGGAGTACTGTGCATGCAATGAAAAGAAAATATAGCCTTCTGCAGATGGAAGAAGCAAGCTTATTAGGAATTAATAACTGTCTTAGTCCTAGGGAAATAAGAGAAAATGGTGCATCTAATTCTTACTATAGCAAAATATAATTAACAGGAAGGTCAGAGGGCAAGGACATAGTATGCAATTAAGTTGTCTTCAATCTTGCACTACACAGGTAAACACAATACAAGTTTAATAATGAACAAATCCTCTGGTACCTAGCACACATTTTTAGAACTCTCATCTACACAAACTCTGTGGGGATCTTATTTCTTGCTATAGCATGTTTTGTACTGTATGGAAAATGCAGGAAGACTCCCTAAAGACATTTTCTTCACATCATGCTTTAGGTTTTCTCTGACTCCTCTTACCACTGAAGCATTACCATAGTTCATTTTTCTGCATGTTACTTGAGATTTACTGCTAATCCAGATAAGGCAAAGCTGTAACAAGGCTGCTGCGAACATGCGAAAGCTGTGCTTTGAAGTGATAGTGTAATGAATACCTATGTTAGTTACTGCTAGATATATTCTTTACCTTTTGGATGTCAAGCTATTTCAGTAGGTAATGTGTTTTCTTTTTCCCCTCAGTCTAGGACACGTGATTGAAGATACAGTATTCATTACATGACTGTTCATAAAGTATATAGAGAACAGATACTTCTAGTCTGGATTCAGTGCTGATCCTTCTCTGAGCAGGAGGTTGGAGTAGATGACCTCCCAAGGTCACTTCCAAACTGCATTAGTCTATAAACTTAAGAATTGTATGCAGATATCTGTTTGGTTTTACAGTTCTTTTAAGAAAACAAAATATTTCAGCTACGTATCGGATTTTACCTGCAGTATATTAAAGTTCTCAGAAGTGCTCTGATTTCTATTCATGTCCTTCTGCCACCACTTTACTTTTTCTTCTCTTGTTTTCTGTCAAGAGCCTCCAGACTTGCCTTTGGTTTCTGCCCTATAGCAAATCTTACTAACAAAGACACACTTCCCTTTCTGCTTTTGCTTTCCAAACTTTCTATTCTCCATGCCTCTGAGCCCACGGAGTAATGTTTAAAATGCTACAAGCTGTAACACAGTTGTATAAAACTGCATCCTATTTCTCTAACAGCAGTGGAAGGGACTTGTTAGGCAGCATCAGCTAAGATTTATGCTAAGGGGGCTATCTACACTCAGAAACCTAAGGAAACATACCAAAAGGGGCAAATTCATACACTAAATCATCCACTAACCATTCATGTCAGACCTTCCAACCCTATACCATGTATAACTGTGAATGACAAGCTAACAATCTGAGAACTGTTTAGTCACCGTCAGAACGAGTGCAAAAGTGATCTGCTTTATTTATTTACTTTTTAATCCATGGAGTTGATTCTATGAATGTTACAGGATTTTTTTTTCCATAGGCAGGATTCCTTGTGATCAGAATGACGACTGAAGTGAAGGGTGAATGCCCTTGTCACAGACAATCTGTGAAAATCCAAACTGAGTTAGCTGAAAAGAGGAAAGGGGGAAGAAAAAGGGGGGGGGGGGGGGGGTGTCAGGGTGTGGAGGGTGAAGGAGAATGGGAAGTAGAAAAGAGATGATATCGACTAATTAGAAAATTGGAGCAGAGAAAATAGTTTTGCCAGGGTATACTCCATGTTTTTTGGGGTTTTGTTCTGTAACTGTTGTAAAACAGCAAGCAATCATTTATAAATTGGGGGAATTTCTGTTCCATCTAAAATCTTACAAAGGAAAGAATAAAAGCCTCTGCAGAAACAGTTTTGGTCCTGAATGAGATAGAAACCAAGACTCAAGAAGAAAGTAATTTTTGTCTCCTTAGGGAAAGACAAGTCTGAAATTCAGGTAGTAGGTCCTTTTCAGTGAGATGTGTGAGATGCAAAGCAACAGAAGTGTGTGTGAGATACCAGCTTGCTCTCCGCCTCCTTTAAAAAAAAAAAAAAAAAAAAGGCTTGGATATGAACTGGATTTCATGCACTCAGCTGCTTAATTTTTTTATTTTTTTTTTATTATTTTTTACTCTCAGATTGTCATACCTTTTATTGCATTGAAGCAAGGAGAAATAACCAACATAATGACCTGTGAGGAGAAGTGCAGGAGGTGTCTGGACAAGGATGTGGTGTTTGCTGGTTGAGAAAAGGGTAGGTCTACCATGTGCAATGGGGTTCTGCTGCAACCTGCTTTTGCAGCCTTGCACCTGCCTGTGCTCTCTTGACTTTTGTGGGGGCCCTTGCATTCTGTATAGTCAATTAACAATTGGGACTGTTGCTGCAAGCTCCCTCATCGCTTGTGAAAGTTGCACCCTGTCAATGACTCTTCCTGAAATGAAGGATGGGTGATGAGGCTGCAAGGGTTTCAGAAGGTGCATAACAACTCAAAGAATATGACCCTAATTAGGCAACAGCTCAGTAAAATGTTCCTTTCTTTCTCAGCTTTAAAACTCATTTACCCTTTTCATGTGTGTCAAAACATGCCAGATATTATGAGCATGATCTCTTGAGATCAAGCTAATTCATGACTTGGTTAATCTCACAGCTCTTTTTATTGAATGATTGTGGTATATTTTATATTCATTTTTCGCTCACTCTCTCTGGTATAAGGTGAGGTTATGTTTGTTTTCAGGGATATGACTATATTTTGTCTGACAAAAAATATGTGGTTAGTTTGAAATATCTGTTATTCTGTGCTTCCTCCCTTTTTCCTAGCGAATAACAGGGAGGTAGATGATGATCATACTGCAGTGTTTGCATCGACAGAGGAAACATCGCAGATATTTTTGATTTACTGAACATACTGCATATTGTAAGGACAAGAAAAAAAAAGGCAGATGAATCAGAATTAACTCCCAAACAAAATCATAGTAAAATAACTGATTTTGAACAACCCTAAGAAGGTAGTACAGATTCAGTATTTTCAGGTATATATGAATGTTTCCTTAAACTTCTGGATTTGGTTGAGAGAAGGAGTTTCTTTAATGTTCATAATATCTACGTAGCTCCTTAGAACAAATGGTGATTTGAAAAATAATCTTACTATATTCAGTAGTGCATATACTGAGACTGATATTTACAGTTCTTCAGTTCTTATATTAATTATATAATATAATATAATATATAACATAATATAATTATATTAACATAATTCTATATTAATTTTATGGAGGAGGCTTTGTCCACTTTTTTCCCCTTTGTGTTGGTGTTGGCAATTTAATATGATTACTAGGAGCAAACTGAAGCTCCTGCCTTTATGGCTTTTCTTGCATATCTCATAGCTAAAGAAAGATGGTGGTGAGATGATTTTTTTTTTTTTTCACACAAGCAAAGCTCAGTTTTAGCCATCTTAACTTACAAAAGGGAAAATTAGGAAAAATATTATCTTCATTATGCTTCAGACATCAGCCTGAGATATCTATACAGAAATGTACTGCACTCCTTATCTAAATGTGGAGTCAATAAATCCATTAATACTAACTGATCATTTTTCTTCATATAGTAACTGAGTGGTTTGTGCCTTTGTTATATCAGGAAAAAAAAAATCACACAAAAAAAGTGCTACTGACTTGGGTAGGAATTTTGCCTGAACAAAGATGACAAGCTGTAGCCCAAATGATACTCTTTTCAGTGCATATCTGCTTCATTTTATAAAGCTTCTATATTTTGATAGCACATATGGGAATGGCTTATATTTGGATTTTGAATTGCTTCAATTGGAGACAAAGCTGCCGTGGAGATGTCAGGTTGTTATGCATTTGTTAAAGTTGTGTTTTGTTGCCTACCTGAATGACTTTGAAGGTGCTAGTGCTATCTGGAGTCCAGACAGCAACAGAGAGGAGGAAAAATAACTACTTCATTCGTATAAAGTTTTTCTTTACATGAGTGCATCCATTCACAACAGCCACCCTCCACCCTGACACAGGACAAAGGTCTCGCTAATGCAGCTCCTATCCAATATACTGAAGGCCTTGGGCATGCTACGCAGCTGCAGGTTGGCAGGGGCATGACACTATTAACCAAAGCTGTCTCTCAAATCTCAACTGACCTTAATACCAAAGCGGAACTTGCCAGAGAGTCTTTACTCCCTTCAGGCATTGATCAGTTCTTTTTAAATGGATAGGAATGTAGGGTTTCAGGCTTTTATCACAATTTAAAAATTCTGTATGTATAATGTATAATTTTGTATGTACCCAGTATGTATAAATTGAAGAGAACTGTACAAAATGATAGAAAGACTTCATGTCTCAGCTATTAAATATGGTCTTTTAATGTCTGTATTTTTAAGTGTGTGAACATACATTATGTATATGTATAGGTGTTTCTGGCATATCAAACTCTGGTTTATGCAAATCTTGGCAGAAGATATTAAAAATGTCTGTTCAAAAATGCGAATAGCTGAAGCAGGTATTTGCTTTACCATTACTCCACCTACTGGTATAGTGCTAAACTGACTGAGATATCAGAGTTTAGAATAAAGAAAAAAAGGGGAATAAAACTTCCCAAAGCATTGGTATCAAGTGACTAGATAAATGACAAAAATGGCAATTGTGGGGAATGATAGTTTTAAGGAATTAATAAAGGTAATTTTGGATGGGTTGGGGCTGAATTGCTTCTTTCTGCTCATAAGTACATATTAGTGGTATACCTACTGTTTTAAATATCTAAAACTTAAATTGGGAGGAGTCAATATTTTAATGGACGTGTTTGTACATTTTATTACAAAACCACGTGCACATACTCTATTTGAATAACAGAGTAAAATTGTCTTGGAACAGTAAAATATCAATTAAAGTCTTTCAAAAGCTACCACAATATGAGTAAATAGGGTATGACACTGTCTGAAAAATTACGCTGGAGAAAACAAACACTGTCACAACTGGACCACATCAGTTACTTGGGGCTGAAGTTTACAATATATGATTCCTTTTTACAGTGTAATTGCTGGAGGAGCCCAAGCTCTAAGAAGGGCTTCCCCTTCTTGGGGGATACCCCAACATACGCTTGTGGAAGCTGTCCATTCTGCATGTAATGCAGCCCTTGTTCAAGGGCTGTTGATGCTTGAGACATGTAAATGAAGTTCATATACATCAAACCCAACTGCAGGACTACCCTAGGTTACGCTGCAGAAAGAAAAGAATAAAAAAAAAAAAAAATAGTTTATTGCTTTTTGGAGGGCCTAAGAGTCTATAGCCCCAAGTCAGCTTTGTGGTTGCCTGGTTTCTCACTCTTTCCACCTTTACTGCATTAATATCATTTTGCTATGACTATCACAAGATTTCATAAAATCTACCATGCTGTGAGATCTGTGAGAAGGCTCTTCATCAGAGAATTCCGTGGGCCATGGTTATCTGTCAACTTATTTTGTTTATTTTAAAATGAAAGACAGTGATGAACTGAGTCTGTTATTTAGATTCTCGCATGCAGTTTACATATATGTCATACAAATCCTTTCATTTACATTTCTTTTTTTGGTTACCTTTTTTTTATTGTTGCATTTTCTTAAGTACTAAGAAAGGATGTTAGTTTTTTAGCAAATTTAACAACAAAACTATGAAAACCATTTTTTTTGTTTTTTACTTATGTGGCATTGCTCCTTTCGAAGGCCTTATAGTGAACCTTTTCCCCTGCTTGTGTAATTGAAAGGGTAATAAGGGCACGGTCACCTTTTGTTGTCATACCTGCTGACACCAACTTGAAAAGGATATTTTTTAGTAGTTGTTTAAAGACTACTTATCTTCCTTTTCTTCAGAGGACCACATGCCCACAAAAGCAAGGTAAAACCTGATACCTCCATCAAGGGGATTTATAATCCACGATGGATTTAATCTGTTAGATGACTCCAGGTAGTCCATTAAATCTAGACTCCTCAGCTATGCCTAGATGAAGGGTGAAGAGAAGGGATGTTTTCATAATCGTGTGTCTGCCTTTTGCATCCTGATTAACAGTAGAGGCATACAGATATTTGTACATGGTAGGCACATCATGTCTGCACAACCGAATCACTAGGACCCTGGAACATGTTGTGGTGCATGGCTGTCATCCAGTCCTGTCATGATCTGTGTTTCTGCTGTGCATGCTTTAAATAATCATATAGCTGGATGTGTAGACATATATCTTCCTAGCTGCTAATGCCTTTTCTTTAGATAACATAACTGAAAGCTTATGACAAGAGCTGGTATGGAAAGCCACCCAAGGGTTTAGGAAAAGAGCGATGTAAGGTGTATGCAATCACTCATTTGAATTGGTAAAAGATACCTTTTTAATCTGGGGGAGGTAGGAAAGAATAGTTAGTGGGAAGACTGTAGACTGAGAGCTGAGGTGGGAGCACTGTGTTGAAAAATGTAATGCTCCCAGGTGCTTATAGTGCTTATAGGAAGAAGTGTAGAGGGGTAATTAGGTGAATTTGCCCCTGCTCTGTACTGTAGCGCTGAATACAGTGCTTAATCTCAGCAGTGCAAAGGTTAAGAGATGCAGGTCTAAATGGTCATCCAGGGCTATGCAATTAGCTTTCATACTGAGCAAAGCCAAAGCCAGAGAGCTTGCACCTGTGGATTCTTGATGGAAAAAACACTCTTGACTGAGCATAGTCTAAAGTGAGATCTTTTTTCTGCAGAGCACAGAAAGGCTGTGCGCTGAATACAAGAGGATCAACACAGCTGGTTGCTAGCATCTTGATTAGGGATGGATGAACTGGTTTGGATAAAACAACAACTGGTCTGGCTGTGTACAGAGCTCCAGCTGAGCCTGAATTTGGAAGGGGCAAAACAATACAAAGCTGATATTGTTATTTTCACATATACACATTAACATTTTTCTGTACATCCTGGTTGCATGAAAACAGCTGGAAGACAATGCAAGAATGGCACATTTCCTGCCTTGCTGGAAAGACAGGCAGTCTCTTGATCTCTTATTATCACCAGACATGTTTCAGAAGAAAAGAGACATGTTCCTCTGAACCAGTCACAGAGTATACCTATTTCCTCACCTCTATTTCAGACTATTCAACCTGCAGCAGTTGAGAGAAAACTGTTAGTAACATTCATATCTCTGAACAGCTTTTCTGAAGTGTTTTTGAAATTTTAGCAGAGGAGGTTAGTTTGGAGCACTGAAAATTGCCACATGTGCAAGTGTCAGTGTTCTTTGTTTTGTGTTTGGATGCCTGCATAAGCGTGGTAGTGTGGCCACTTTGTACGTCATAGACAAAGGAGGTGGTACTCTTGCTCAGTCATATAGATGATATGTTGGCAGTGCTTATCATTAAGACTTTGTGGGAACATCTTGGAAATATTTGCATTCTGATATAAAGTGAGGTTCCCCCTGGCAGTTGTGTCAGAACATGCACTCTATTTTTTTTTGAAAATGCATTTCAGCGTTTTACATCCCAAAATGTAGCTTTGTCCAAGCAGTCTCTTAATGTGCAGTTATAAATAAATTAGTGTTCGGTCTTCTTGTTGAATATACTCACATAGGCCTTTTTCAGTCTTCTTTAATTTCATGAAGATAGAACATAGAAAATCAAGTTCTGTGGCCACTAATTCAAATCATGGCTAATCTTTGGAGAGCTATATTTTCCAGTGAAAGATGCTATTTAATATACATAATAGTTTTTTTTTTCTATATATAATTGCACAGAAGGGATTGTTTCCAGTAAATTAAAATTTCTTTGACACCAATTATTTTTGCAATATGAAGATGTAGTATTTTACCTTCATTTCATTTTCTCTAAATTAATCTGATGATGATTAGATTTAAATAATAAAAATAATGAGCTATGTTTCCTTCTGTAAATTACTTCTTTGTCATGTGTGCTTCCCTTTGTATTGAACTTGGTGACTTATTTGCTTTTAGGAGTTCTGAAATATTCTGACACTAATTACATTTTGAAATATAACCTTCCAACTATGTTGCTTCTGTTTTTTACTCTTTTCAGATTGGTTTAGAAGCATTGGCTTGTTATTTTATTGCTGAATATTGAAGCTGAGAGCCATATTACATATATCAGTGTGCTTTCTTTTCCATCTTTAGCTATGTTAATTAAATTCTGTATTCTCTATATCACTCATGATTTGTAATGTCTGTTGCCAAATCCCAGGCTCTGCAATGTGAAATCTATTCAATATAAATATTTTATTTGTCCAACTGTTTTTGAAACTAGTTCAGCCATAGTCTCTAGTATTTTCTTTCGTTGTTGTGTACTAAATGGCGATTGCAGTATATAACAAAAACAAAGGAAAATGTTCTGACATGTTCCATGCAAAAATAATAGATTAAGCATATATTTCTCCTGCTGCTAGGAAAAAAATGCAAAGGTCTTTCATCAAAGTTGCTGGTCTAAATGTGACAAAAAGGTAGCCTATTATCAACTCAATCACAGCAATGAGTCCAATGCTCTACCTGGTTGAACACTGGACATGAGACAGACCCCAGTACCAGGAATGTAAGAGGAAGTTACAAATAACTTTGTGTTCATCAGTGATATATTTGATCTTTAGGGGAAAAGATTAATGTGTTGCAGGTGGTACTTGCCTTATGTCTTAAAGCTATAAACACATAAAGATGATCACAGTGGGTCAGACCAAAGATCTACCTGACTCTGTATTCTGACTCCTACAGAATCTGCACATGAATATTTAGGAAGGAGTAAAACTAAAAAAAGCATATAGGATGCTTCCCTTCTACGTTTTTACCATATCTGACTGTTTTCATCTCAGGGAATTTTATATACTGAGCCTAACTTCCCTTTGCTTAGGTTATGCAAGACCTAACAAGGTCTTTGAATGTATGTATATCTTCTATTATTCTGTCTCCACTTGAACCCAGGTAAGATTCTGCATCCCACAGCATCATGGGTATCCCAGATAGAGAATCAGTTCCTTTTTTGTGTGTGGAGCCTGCCTCCTGCTATCTTAATTTAATGTCCCCTAGTTCTGCTACTATAGAAGAGAAATTGAGCAGGTCATCCCTAACTACATTTTTACGTACCAGTTATGAATTTGTATTTTTCTCATTTCTTCCCTCAGTTGCTTCTTTTGCATGTCAGATATTTGTTGATTCTTGTACAAAAGCTGCCCTACACGTTTGGTTTCCTTCTCATTTTCTCTGTGCATATTTTATGCTACTCTATCCCTTCTGAGATTAAGAAATAAACAATATTTAAGATATGGGTGTACCATGGATTTATATAATGCCATAATGAAGTTTTCAATTTTATTCTCTATTAATTTTGCAGTAGTTTCTAACATATGCTTAGTACTTTTCAACTACTACTGAGTACTGAGCGACCATATTCATAGAACTGTAGATCATAATCCAAAGATCAGGCTCTGAAGCTGTAATGCAGCTCAGCAGCCGTGACTTTAAAAGTGGAATTGTGATTGTTTCTTCCATCTAACTGTACTTTTACCTATATTGAACAACATCTGACATTTTATTACTCAGACTCTTAGTTTCATAAGATCCTTCTGCAATTTTTCACGACTCTTGTCCTTCCTACTTTAATAACTCAGTGTTGTCAGCAAACTTTGCCAGCTCATTCCTTTTGTGAGGTTATATTTATGACTATATAGGCCAGCAGGGGTCCCGGTGATACTCTGATGATTATTTTCTTTCACTGTTGGAGACCTGGTCATATTATACCTACCTTCTTTTCCCCATAGTTTAGCAAATTAACTAGCCAGAGTGTGTGTGTGTATGTTTTTGGTTTTTTTGTTTGTTTGTTTTTTGTTTGTTTGCTTTTTTTGTTTGTTTTCCTCTTGCATATGGTAGTCTAGTTCTTACAAAGCTTTTAGTGAAAGAATTTTTTGAAACCTTTGTGGAAGGCCAAGTAGATTATACCAAGATGATGATCTGTATCTAGTTTCTTGTTGAAATCCAACACTGAGAACTCCAATAGATTTTCAAGGCTGCACTTCCCTTTTGAACAGACACATTTTCTTTTTCCAATAGATAATGCTTATCCTAGTTTTCATTCAATCTGTCTTTTATTAAGGCTTTTACTAACTGGCCTGAAATAAGAATCAGGCTTTGCATCTAACCCCTTTCCTACCTTTAGTATGAATCCTTTCCTACCTTTATTTTATCACTTTTATTTTATTTTAATGACACCCCATCTTTTATTTTTGGATACCAGCTCAGTTTAGGCAGGAACTTATATATCACTGTTTGTCTCCTTCATCCTCAAGCTCCTTTGGAACTCCTGGGTGGGCACCATCTGGTCCTGTTGAGCTCCTACTCTTCAATTTGTCCATTTGTGTCAATATTTTTTTGACAATGATTTCAGTTCTGGAAGGATCCTCTGACAAGTCTTCTAGGCAGAGAGATTGTATGAGAGAGTATGGGAGTCTCTCCAGTTCTTTCCATAGTGAACAGCGGTGTTAAAAATAAATAAATAATAAAAGAAAATCTGTCTGCTGTACTTGCATTTTCTCTGAGGGCACTTTTTATAGCCTTATCATTAATTGATCGTGCAGGTTTTTGTTGGCTTCTTGTGTATGTTAGAGGAAGGATTTTTTAGTTTTTATTACATTTTTGTATTATTTGTCATTTGGACTTCAGTGGTGGTATTTTCATGAATAGGGCTCTTCCTCTTTGAAGGATGTCTTAGGATACCTCTAAACGAACTGCTTAAATATTTTGGAGTCTTCCTTCTCTTTTAGAGATGTTTGTTAAGAGGGTTTATATGATCTTCAGAAAAATGTGTTTGCATTGTCATCATCTTTGGATATTTGTGAAGTCCAGTTTGTTTGTAATCTAGTTGCAATGAATATTCTGTTGACAAATTCTGAACACAATTCTAAGTCTTTCATCAGATATATACAGTATCTTTTAACTGCTATTTTATGTTGCTCTTTTTTTTCATGTGTAGTAAAGCTAGTGAAAAGTATCTAGAATTCTAATCAGCTGATTTCTTTTTTAATTTGAGTCTGTTTAAAAAAAAAAAAAGCTTTAAATGAAAAGGGATATGGAAATTATTCAGCAAGTGAGACCCACAGAGATTTCTATGATTGCTATAAACATGAGGGATTCCAGATGGGGTTCCCCACAGGAGCTAACGTATGGAAACCTGAACATTTTGCAGATTCTTTTAAAAACTCAGTAGATCAAAAATGCCATTTTTCCTCTGTTGCTTACCCATCATATTGTATATTAATAAATGAATAAAAAGATAAAAGATAGAAAGAGGATAAATATTGTCAAAGTTATATTCCTGTCTCATCATTACCGAAAAATTATCAAGCACATCTGACAGCCCCACATAATACCTTTTTTTTCCCCCATCAGATATGCAGTGTGTATTGAGGACATACTGTGGGCAGTCTTTCTCACAGTCTTACATTTTGAGGAATATTGTGAACTGGAATATTGCATTACATTATCATTTGAAGAACTTGGTCAAGATTTCTCAAGTGTGCAAATGAAGTTCTGTTTTGTGATTTTTGATTCCAGAAGAGGGAATGGGAAAGGGAGATACGAAGAAGTCATGTGAAATCCAGGGATGAGATGAGGCTGTGGAAGCAAAATTTCTAGGAAGGTTCCTGGAGAAGAGGGTAGGGGGAAGAGAAGATGAACTGGGAAGAATGGGAGAGAAGATTGCCCTATCCCTTCTGGGAAAAGAGAGATGAAGAGCTGGCCCAAGGATTTTGAGAACAGCATTGTTAATGAGTAAAAGGAAGACAGTAGATGTGGCAACAGCACCCACCCCATGTATCTACTGCTGATGCGCTTCAGAAAAGTGTATGAGGAGATTGTTCAGAGTCCTTTAACTTTGAATCAAATTAGTACGTCTTACCTGATTTGAATGGTTAAGTCTGAAAACCAGATGTTTCCTTCAATCCAGCCATGAATGCTTCCACAATCACAGCCTGAGACTTGCTTAGTTTGTTCATTTACTTGGCTTGTTCTCTTACACAGAATAGAGGAAAGATACTTTACAAGCATTTGAATAGGGAATTTACTCAATGAGAAATGAATTCATAAACTTTTACTGAGTAAACAATGGCATCAATTACTCATTTTGGATATGTTGATTATTGAACACCCACGTATGTCAAAATCCTGGCTTTGGGATGTAGATGAGAACTCACACGTCTACGAAGAAGCAAATTCACCTTGAAAAACAGACATCTCATATTTTGGCACTCAGTAAGTTGTAAGTCCCATGTTGGAGACTGTCAATGGACACCATGCATACCACACAGCATGGAAAAAAAAATAAAGATGATCTACAGAGTACTCAGCTATGGAATAAGTAAATAAGTGATGTAGTGATGTGATGTTTGATTTTTGTACCTGTTATGTTTTCTGTGTATCGTGGCTACCACCAGCATTATGAGTTTTGTCACTGGAGCTATAGAACTTTTTTTTTTTTAAGACTTTATAGAAGCCTTAACTGTCTCATAATTAATTCCTACCAGAGCATCTCTTTGTTGCTCTGACAAGAAAAGCTAAGCAGCATTAATATCTAACCTGGAAATTAGCACTGAAATAGGTCTAAAAAGAATGTGTGTTTGTTGGTTAAGGTCACAAAGGTCACAAATTTTCTGCTTTCTAATGTATCTCTGGCAAAGATTCCTGGATCTCTCCATTGGCAATGCTACTATGAAGGAGCCTGGAGTTAACAGGGAAAAAAAGAAAGGGAAGGAACTGGGATACCAAAGCAAAACAGTTTACAGCCTTCTTTCATGCACACACTAGCACAAATAATAGAAGAGGATTAAATTTAATCTGCTTAGAAAGGGAGTCAAAATTTAAATAAGGTAAAACTCAGAGAGAAGGAAAAGAGACAGAAGCAGGATCGCTCTTAAGGCAGTTAGTCAGCAAAGTGCCCATTAGTTAACTGCTAACATGGCACAAGACACAACATTGTATTGATTTTACTTTATTTTATTGGTAAAGGGAAGCCTTATATATGTGTGTAAACTGCATTTCTGCAGGTTAATCTTAGCGACATATTTCTACAACATAATTAATGCGAGCATCTGTGAACGATTTAAAATCAGAAGAAATACAGATATTTCATAGAGAGTAATTCTACTCCAGTCCTCTGCTATTCAAGAGATAAGAGCTGAAATGCAGCTTGGAGAGAGACCCAGGGGAATAACGTGCATTGGAACTTTATGTACAGAAGCAAGAATGAGTCCCCTTTCAATGGAAAGTCCTCTTACAAGGTTATGTTGAAGAATAAGGTCATTTCACATTTATTCCAGTTAGAAGAACACTCCAAAACTCCTGAAGAATATGAAGTATAAGAATTAATTAAAATACAAGGGAAAGGTGCTTCTGTCTGGAAGACAAATAGTGCAACTGGTGATGCTTATGCAGGGGCAGCAGTAGACAGGCTGTCAATTTCTACTTGGAAAAATAGTTTTCTCTGCTTTTCTAACTTTCTTTATAAGTAACTGTGGTAACTGCAAAAGTAGAACAGCACACAGCAGCATACACAGATGCCTGCCTATAATGCTGTGTTTGTATACATTCAGAACACCCACGTATCCTGTGCTAATAATGTGTTGATTTGTAGTTTAAGCTGGCATTAGGCACCCATTGGATTTCATGCGTAGATAATGAGGAATTCAGAGAATTGGCAGCTCACAGAGATAACACTACAGTTCATCTGAAAGGGACTCTTTTGGCACTGCTGCTTGGCAAACAGTACTTCTTTGGTAGAGAAAGGGTGCTCATCTGAAGCATGGCCTCAGGTCTCTTGCTCTTATGTCTGGCAGAATTCACGTGCTTTTGGGATGACCTGCAACTATGAAAATCAAGTTCTGAGGCTTCACTAATGACATTGGCTCAGTGCTCCAATGTGATCTTCTGCCCAGGCTTCTGACAGGCTTCAGAGGATGTTGCTTATCAACTTTCCCAGCAAAAAGAAGACAGATTTTATGTTCATATGGACGTAAATTTTTGCAGATGCCAGAGGAAGAGGGGTGGGAGGAGAGCAAGTTGTTATGTTACCTTCACATAGCATGTTGATTAGGATAGGCTACTCATGGCTAAGAAGCCACGGTAGTCTTTTCTGGATTATCCCAGAAAAGTTGCTATTCCTTTTTTCATCTAAGATTATACGTGAGATCACTGAATAATAATCTAAGCCTCCTCAAACTGAGATGTGAATGAAAATCACAGTGGTGATTAGAAAACACTATATTCCTATATTCCTAATCTGTTGCAAAGAGAGAGGTAAAAGCTTGGAGAGTCTAGATTTCAACTGAAAAAAAGACATCGTTTCTTCACACCTAGAAAATAGTATATAGACTAGAAGCTCTTAAGAATATTTTGGGGCTTAGCAGTACTTGTTCTCAGCACTGATTTCAACTAGCTTCTCATATATTTGGCTGGAAAATGAAGCCAATAAATGAGTTTTGATAACATTTAAAACAGTAATTCAAGTTTGCTACTATCATTTCTGGAAATAGGACAAACATATTTATGGCCAAAAAAAAAAAAAAAAAAAAAGCACTGTCAAGTTAAATACATGCCTAATGTTGAAGAGGAATTATCCATTATTTTGTGGGGGCTCCCTTCTCCTAAAAAGCCCCTTCTCTCCTCTTAAACAGGAAAGCCCCAATCTATATGGGTTGAAATATTTATAAGTAATCCCCAGTTTATACAGTCTGAAACTGTTGTAATGGTGTTCTACTACTGAGGTCATACATCAGCCTATGAGCTTCTCAGAGATTTAATGTATTGATCCTTCTTTGTTCCATTTTCCCTTATCCAATATCTTTAGCACAATCACTAATTATTTATTTTAGTAAAAACACAAATGCTCCAGTGATCATTGCCAACAGTTCAGCACTAATGAGCAGCTCTCTTGTAACTAACCATTGTGTGCATTCAATACGAGAAAGCAAATCGGTAAGGAAAAAGCTACAAGCAATGTTCTGTTACAGATAGTAGTGAAGAGTAAAAAAAAAAAAAAAAAGATCTTTGTAATTATTAAAAAGTTTGACTATCATCTTGAATAGTGAATCTTATTGAGTTATGAGTTATCAAAAACAACCAATGAACATGAAAAATAGTCACCTATCCCACACATCTTCCATTTGATATGCTTAACATTTCTACATTTATCATAAAGTATACATTTAGCTGTTAAAATTTATGCACCTAGTTCTGTCTGTCATATTGAGACCACTCATTTCTTTCTTTCAAGGACTTTGTTAGGCATTTTAATGGTAGTGTTATGTTCACACTTCATGAAGCAGCATGACCCTCTGACCTCACCTTCACTTGAGTCAGGGTGTTCAATGCTTAGCATCCCTGTGTTGAATATATAGCCTGCAATACAGTTACTCCCATATTTTTGGCTGTCTTAAAATATATGTTCATGGACCACTATTATTGAAGAATAAAACTAAGCTCTTGGTTAAATAATCTCCTGTCTCTCCTTGCTGCTCAGTAATAAGCAAGCTCTGTGCCCTGCAGATTTGAATACTTTAATGCCACTGTGCAAGTCGTGGATGGATGCTATTAATATCATTGTAAAAGTGTGGCCATGGAATTTATTTTTATGACGTAGGAACCTCATGACCCTCTATATCATGTTAAATCTTCAAACTGTTCAAAATTAGGGATAACAGGTAGCTTCAAGGAAAGAGAGAGATGAGCTCTTTCTCTAAAAGAGTCACTGTACTTATTATTAGTTCAAATATTCCCCACCTTTGTGGTTTACAAGTATGTGGCTACTGAGATGCCCCTTCAGCCCAATTGATGGCGATCACATGAGTTATTCTTCAAATCTTAGGGAAAACAGATTGATGTGTCTTTACTTGAGAACTCCATACTTTATCAAGTACTGAGATTCCTTCCAGATGAACTTTTATTTATTATTGTACATTTAAAAATCCTTGTCTTACTCTATTTTCAGATCTTTATTTTACATTAATTCCTTGTCTAAATAATTATTAATTTTAGGCAATTTTTCCTGTTTCCTTTTTCTGTTTGCTTCACATTTAGTCAATACAGAACTTGTATAACATCACAGCTTTATTCAGAGGAATATCTTATTTTAGTCAAGTGACAAACACTAATGTCTGAAAGCAGTGAAACCTTTATATAAAGGTCCTCCTGTGAAAATCTTTACTTTCTTTGGTTGTTTGTTTAGCCTAAATATTAGTGGATGCATCTTGTACTGATTTCTGATGCTAAAGTTGCTCTGTAGATGTTTTTCTTCTTTCATGCTGGCTCAGAAATGCCAGAAGTCACTTGCAGGCAGTAGAAAGATTCCCATGGATTCAGAAAAGCTATATATCAACCCCTTTGCACACTGTAGCTATAACTATCAGGGTGTATCACTTGTTTTCATTTTATTTATTAGTTACAGCATAATACATACGTTCCATAGGGTTGACTCCATCGTGCTTACAAATTTACAGTAAGCTTGTTTGGAGCAGTGTGTGAATATATTGTTGAAGGATAATAGTGGAGAACAGGAAATGGAAATTAGGAAGTTTTAAAGGATTCAGTGTTTTCATGAAACAGCTTTGCAGATTTGTGCTGGTAATGCATTTTGCTTCTTTCTTGCAAATTACGTTTCTAGAGATGATGTAGACAGTTTGTTTTTTTTTTTTTTTAATTAACTACTTTTTCTTATTTTGTTCTTCTTTATTCCTTCTTTCTTTTATTTTTTTTTCATTCCACACGACCAAAAAGAAATCCCGAAATCAAAATAATAAGCCCCACAATCTCTGTGAGAGCACTGAGTGTACCAACCTTAAGATAAAGAGAGATTTGTTTATTCTGCTGAATTACTGTATGGCAGAAGTGACTCCCAGCATGAGCCAGCCCCTTCCTGTATATCATCACAGCTGCAGTGTGTGCTTTAGCCACATAATCTCTCTGGGTCTTGGGCATCATTGTGGTTCAGCTGGCACTCAGCCATGCTCATACAGTGAGTGAAAACAGAGAAATCAGACTGTTGAATCAAAACAATGAGTTATAATGGTCTAGGGTAGGTGCTGATGCTGTGATTTCTGTCTGCTGTCACTAATGTCAAGGTAGGGAAATATACTTACACAATGCTGAGTAGATGTTGTAATTCAGGAAAGTGAAACTTAAGAATGACTTGAGAAAAGAGAATTGATTCTTATTTCATTCACACCTGTACACTTTAGGAAGGTCATTGGGGCAGTGCTAACATAAAGGAGATTACAATAAGATTTGGATTCATTTTGCAAGTCATACAATACCAGATAATATCAACCATGTTTTCTAGGCATAAAAAATAGTTTTTGTGATGCAAGTAGTTTTTCTTCCACATTGTCTTTCACAACTTACTGAATGTTCCTAGTAAAAACAGTTAAGAGACTCTATCATGTTCTGTTAAATTAATATTTTCTTAATTTAATTATAGTGTGATGTCATCTTATTGAAGCTGTTGCTGTGGAATGTCTGGAATTGAAGAGGAATTCTTGGTTACATTAGGCAAAGAGGAATAACGTAGGTTTTCCTCCCAGCTCAGATCCAGCATCTGTTAGTAACTCAGACATAGACAATGGTATCTGAAATGGACATTGAAGTAGAAAAGCAGAGTTGGATGTTTCTAGGCCAAGTGAGGATAAAGAAATTTTTCTCTGGTCTTTTCTCATGCTTCTAGTCCACTGAGGATTTTTAACCAAAACAGCTCCTCTGTTCTGTTCAGCTTCACATTAAAATAACCCTGAAGCAAAAGTATTGCAAGGAAATGATGTCCCTTTGTTAAAGACAGTTCCTGCTGAGGAACAGTCTGGCTCACTTCCTCTGGTAGCTTCTACAGACACATATTAATGGAAGCACTCCCTCATGTATGAATGGTGTGGAAGTGCAGCAGGGGAAGACAACAGTCTTCCTACTCTCTTCAACCCTTCAGTCAGTGTGCTCACCCACCACCAACTGACAGAAGACCTCTCAGGGCATTTTTTTACTTGGAGGGTAAGAGGGCTCTTTTTCACTGATGAAGCCCAAATCCATTTTTTTGTGGAGTTTTTGTTCTGTCTCATCTGTTACTGTAAGATTTTCTGTCTTTTCTAGATTATAGACATTATTGAGAAGCTTTTTTCTCCGTGCTGGGTTAGGGACGGTGAAAGCATGTGTTGGGTGCAAAAACTTCCCCTGTGACTCTTGAAGAACCTCTTCATACAGGCTAATCATATAGTTTCTCTTGTATGCTATGGGGTGAAGGCTGCCACTGGAAGCATCTGTATCTGAGGGGGAGTCCATGCTGATCTACTGGTCAGCGGCTGACTGTTGTTGTGTGCTGCAATAGCACCTCTGTGGCTCTTCCCATGATGAGGGCAGAGATCCCTCTTGGGAGGATAGCATCACGTCAAGCTGCAGAAAGTGGCATGAGTCTATGATCCCTGTTACTGTGGGAGGTTATCCTGGCAGGAAGTGTAAAGAAGGGAGGGGAGAAGAGGAGGACAGAGAAATGCTGTCCCTTGAGCCTTTTTGCAGATCTGCTAATGGTAGTGATACTTGCTGCAGTCAGTAATGTCAAGGCAAAGAAAGTTGGGAAACCTCTTTCCAAATATTTGTAATAGATATGGAAGAATTTCAGTTCCTTTTCAGCCTGAACAAATTCAATTCCATGTTTTCCATCTCCCTGAGGTGAGTGAGGTCTGCTGATCTGCTCTGAAATGAAACCACACTACATTCTTAATGGTGAACCTGTTTTGATTTTCAGATAAAATTACAAGATTTGTTGAACCACAGAGAAAAAGAGAATGGCAGGAGCATGACTATACAACCTATTGGTTAGGCATTCCAATGACAGAAGACAGATATAGGTTTTAGTCCTTGATTCACAGAATATTGCTGTATTTCCTGATAATGTAAAATAGATTAAGAACCAAATCTTGGAGATGAACCATTTGTTTCTAGTCAAGATAATTGACCCTGGAAGTCTGAAGCTAAGAATGTACAGGGTTAATTGTTGATGTGGCAAGAACTGCTGAGATTTTTCACGTTAATATTTTAGGCTTGTCTTTAAGTCAGCAGCATTTAAAGAGATATAGCACTATTGCAAAGGCATGAGACCGCCATGACAAATGTTTCTGGAGGAACTTTCCAAGGCTTGGCACAGTGCTCTGTTAGTTTTACAATATTTCTTTCTGTAATACTTCTTTCTTCCCAAAAAGATTCCTTTCACATTGTTTATCTGGCCAAGAGTATTTCCTCACATGGAAATATTTACCTGCATTTTGGCAGTGTGGGAGCCTAACGTGGAGGCTCTTTTAAGATGCATGCCTTTCTTAAGATGCATGTCTTTCTCCATTGAGTATGTAGGAAGCTGAGGAAGATTACAGTTTCACATCATCTAATTTCAGGTTTCTACAATATGTAGATCTGTGCTAGTTTTCTAGACCCCATTTATCATCCAGGGAAAGAAATTTCACTATAAGAAATTATTTGATTCATTCTGAGTGACAGAAACTGGATCAGAGGAGCTACTGCCTTGGAAGTAAATGCTTCTCTACAGTGACTGTGA